CAATATTTTTGTTTCACCATATTTTTTAAAAAGTACATTGATTATTCGTTTCTTGTCTAGTTGTTCAGCTTTATATCTTCCAATAGTAAAACAGGATTAGCAAAAATCATCAGTAGCATAATAAGCACAGTATCTGTTATTATCAGCTTAATCAATTTCATGCTCATAAATACTTTGAGAAAGTTAGAAAATTCTAAAATATTATAACTTCTCCTCAGAACTAAGAAATTTAATTTGTCTCTTTGTTTCCACTTATATAAATCTAAAATTAAGCTATAGATGTTTTGCTTAAAATGCCTATAGGAAAGAATTTATACTTATCTAGTCATTCTAAAAATAATCCATCATTTTGATCACAATCATTGTCGTATAATAATCAATAACTCCAAATCTTTATTAACAGAAATTAACGAATTATTACATGTTGTATCTCTGTAATATGTTATTTTTCTGAATTAGATCAAAATTTTAGACTATCAAAATTCTATGTTTATGAAGATAAAAGTAAATTGCAGTTGATTCAACATATATTTAAAACTGATTAAGTCTATTAAGAAATTCAATTACTTGCTACTCTTGCAAATTAATGCATTTTTCACAAGTTTTTAACTCCTCATTCTGATCAGATTCTCTTTCCTTGATTTGCAATTCTTCACTTGCTAATAGATTAGTGATGTTAGCCTGTTAAATAAATCTCAAATTTTATCCTATTAATCCTACATAGCCAATAGCAATGTATCTTTACCCATTCATTCTTTAAATTTGAGGTTTACCAAATAATGTTATCTTAATATATTGACCGCAAACCAGATCAGGATAAAGTGAAAATTTTTATTCATCTTAGGTATTTTGAATAACTTAGAAGATCTTGCTCTTGTAATGATATTTTTCCAATTCATTGCCGATTTCAATCTGGATTTATTTTGGAGGATAGAGAGGATCATTAAATTGAAAATTAGCCTAAAATACTTTCATTACAATGGATGTTATTAATGCACTTTCAGATTGATCTCTGCTGGCAATTTTGTAAATCAAATACTCTTGATCAGATTCATTTTTTGAACCCTCAGAACTCCAAAAATAATCATTTTTATGTCTTTAAACAGTTTTCATGATTGATTAATCATAATCCTAAGTTGAGGACTCTATTCCTTCAATCATTAAATGACTATCAGAATGAAGACATTAGCTTGTCAATTAATGAATGCTCATTAAAATTTCATAAACTTGGCTTTGATACTTGCACATTTTGTTGAATTGTGCAGAGTTCAACCTGAGTATTTATGGAATATACTCGTTCTGATGAATAACTACTGAATGATTCTCATCTTGCATCCAGCTTTAAAGTATAGAGAGCCAAATTGAATTCTTATTCTTGAGTTTATGAAACAGATCTTGGCAAGTTAGCTAGAATCTTATGATTTCAGGCAGCTCTAGACACTACAAAATATCTCCAAGTTAGTTTGTCCCAAGTTGCTTAAGGCATGATAATTATTTTGTTTGCATTGTATTTCTTATTTATTAATAATACGAATTTATTCGAATTTCACTTTATTATAAATTTAAATTTCATTTGATGGGGTTTTGGGGTTTTGGGG